TAGGGAGCCACAGGTCCTGCTGATAGCAAAATCTACCAAATTATCACCCCACTACCCTCTGCTGCTCCCTGCCACACATATTTATAGAAAAAAATAGACCAAAGACTTATAGGGAAAACAACATTGAAAGAGAATACAGGGGCCAGCATTGCGGCACAGCAGGCTAAGCTGCTGCCTGCAATGCTGGCATCCCATATGAGTGCCAATTCAAGTCCCAGCTGCTCCATTTCTGATCCAGCTCCCTGTTCGTGTGCCTGTGAAAGCAACAAGTGACGACCTATGTACTTGGCATCTACCACCCATGTGTGAGACCTGGATGGAATTCCAGGTTCCTGGCTTCAGCCTGGCCCAGGCCCAGCAGTTGTGACCATTTGGAGAGTGAACCAGCAGATGGAAGATCTATCTTTCTCTGCCTCTCCTACTCTCTCTGTAACTCAGACTTTCAAATAAATAGATAAACCTTAAAAAAAAAAAAGATAGAAATATGCAAATACGTAGGTTTCCCTACCTTATTTTGAGGTTAGAAGCACAGGATTATACAAAAAGCTAACTGGAGCTTTTCACCCACATAGCTTAGAGCCTTGCCTCTCAAAGTTCAATGAGTTCAGGAATCACCTGTGGATCTTGTTTAAAATATAGTTTCTAGGGGCCAATGCTGTGGTACAGTGGGTGCTGGCATCTCCCATCAGAGCGCCAGAATGAGTCCCAGGTGCTCAGCTTCCAGTGCAGCTCTTTGCTAATGCACCTGGGAGAGCAGCAGAAGACGGTACAAGTACTTGGGCCTGTCACTCCTGTGAAAGACCAGCATGGAGTTCCAGGCTCCTGGCTCCCCAGAAACTGCAGTCATTTGGGGAGCCAGTGGATGGAAGATCTCTTTCTCTGTCTCCCCTCTTTCTCTATAACTACACCTTTCAAATAAATAAATAAATCTTTTTTAAAAAGGAGGTTTTCATACAGAAGGTTTGCAGTGCAGTATGGACTGGGAATCTATATTCCCAACAAGCTCCCAGGTCAGCCCGGTGGTGCTGGTCCATGAAAAATCTGAGGAGCAGGCACTGGAAAAGACTCCCCAGGCTTTCCGCCTTCAGGAACCACTGGAATGAGGCAGGAACCATCACTCTCCATTTTGCAGATGGGAGATGGAGACAATCCAGCAAAGCAGCGGCACCACCCAGAATAACCCTGCAGATAAATAAATGCTCAGTCCTCTGGGCCCTCCTGCTCTCAGCCAGAAGGGAAGCCAGCAGGCCTTGAGTCTGCCTGTGGGATGAATTAAACTGCTTACTTTCTGACCTTTTACAGCCTATATAGCTCTGACCAGAATACCAGCTGCTTTGTGGTATTTTAATCAGAGAGAAGACGCACAGAATCTAAAGTCAAGACCAGAAACCTGACATTTTATTCTTTGCCACAGGTGGATAGACAAAATATGTACACGATGGCTAGTTAAATTTTTTATTTCAGATAACAGTGAATAAGTTTTTAGTATAAATATGTCCCATGCACAGTCTGAGATATACTTACACTTAAAAATATATACACATTGTTTGAAATTCAAATGGTAACGATCAGTCCTGGATTTTTATTGGTTACACCTGTCAACTCTAAGAGGGTGGCATGTAGAAATGAGAGCAGGGACTTGGTAAAAAGGAGTGTTTCCTGCTTCGTCACTGCTGACCTTAAAGAAAAGCACGAAGACACCAGCACGTCAGGTGCTCCCTAGATGCATGTACTTATCACTGCCAACTACTGTGTCCACCCCTCTGAATGGAGCTGAATTTTCTTAAGAAGCTGTTTAGAGGCCGGTGCCGCGGCTCACTAGGCTAATCCTCCACCTAGTGGCGCCGGCACACCGGGTTCTAGTCCTGGTCGGGGCGCCGGATTCTGTCCCGGTTGCCCCTCTTCCAGTCCAGCTCTCTGCTGTGGCCCGGAAGTGCAGTGGAGGATGGCCCAAGTCCCTGGGCCCTGCACCCGCATGGGAGACCAGGAGAAGCACCTGGCTCCTGCCTTTGGATCAGCGCGGTGCGCTGGCCATCGGAGGGTGAACCAATGGCAAAAGGAAGACCTTTCTCTCTGTCTCTCTCTCTCACTGCCCACTCTGCCTGTCAGAAAAACAAAACAAAACAAAACAAAACAGAAGCTGTTTAGAATGCAACAAAATCATAAATTTATAGCTGGTGTTACAGGTTGAGTTGTACCTGCTCCTTTCTCCTCCCCTCCAAATTCATAGGTTGAAGTCTCAACCCCCAGCACCTGGGAGTGTGACCTTATTTGGAAAGAGGGTCTTTGTTGATGGAATCAGTGAAGATGAGGTCCCTAATCCAATGACTGTGCCCTTATAAGAGAGGGAAATGGAGACACAGAGACTGACACGCACACAAAGAGAAAGCCATAGTGGTGTGCTGCCCCTTGGAACAGAGGGAGCACAGCCCGTTTGACACCTCCTGACGATGAGATGACGCCTCCCAATCGTGGCTGTTTAAGCCACTCTGTTTGTGGCACTTTTGTTACAACAGCCCCAGGAACCTCACACTGGAAGTTGGGAGGAACAGAGCAGGAAGAGGGAGTTACAGCAAAGCAAAGCAGTCAGGAGAGAGCCTCAGCAACATTCCCTACCGGCTGCTTTCCTCAGAACTTGAAAACCTCAGCTGAGGAAGACACAGAGGTTTAGAAATACCAACCCTTCTGGAGGAAAACAGCTACTGCTCTAAAATGCAATTTGAAACACTGACTTGAGCAAGCCACACACCACTTAAAGAAGAAAGCTTAGAAGTCAGAGGTGACCCTGGTTATACAAAAAAACCCAGGACTAAAACGATTCTGGGGAAGGGTTTTACAAATCACACCCTTGACAGACCTGTTACTGTAAACGGTTGTTTTTCCCCTCCATGAGAGGATTGCTTTCCTCCAGACCAAACATTACCATATTGGGTTGGTGGTGATTAGGGAGCTCAGAACAAAATTAAGCAGGCTATCCTGATTTCATTGCTCTCTGAATTATTTATTTGCTTGTCACATTTCCAGTAGCCTCCAAATGGCAAGATTTAAACAAAAGATAGGCTACCTAACATTACTTTACCTTTTCTTTCTCAAGAAACTGAAACTGGATCAGTTTAGCATGGATTTTTTTTTTTTTTTTTTAACTCACCTTGACCCAGGCTTTCCTGAGGCCTGGAGCTGGACTCTGGAAACAGAACTGAGTGCTGCCACCTTGGAAAAATTCCACACCTGGCAGGTTCCATCCCACGACCCTGCATTCAGGTGTTTTTGGTTTTTACTGGAGGGCCTTTGCACATGCTGATCTGCACGTCTGGAATGTTCTTCTTCTGCCCAGACCCCTCTCTGACCCCCCAACAAAGTTAAATATCTCAAAAACAACTTCTGTCAATCACCCTCTTACTCCTTCTCATACAACCTTGCAGATTTCCTTCACCGCCCTACCACAGCTATTACTGATGGCTTATTTATTATACATGCTTAATCCATGGCAAGATTTGTGAAGCCGGAGACCTGATGAGTTTTTTTACATGACTTTGTAACCAGTGCCTGGCCCACAACAGGCACACACATACAAAGATACTTCAAAAAGTTCAAGGAAAATGGAATCAAGAGATTTTATTCTGATGCGAATTTTTGAAATCCATACATACTGTTTTCATAATATGAATTCTTCATGAATTTTTTAATATTCTTTGTATGTATATATTTCAAAAATTGTTTATACTGAAGGAAACGTGGCTTCTAATTCCATTTTGCACAAACTTTTTGAAGTCTCCTTGTATTTTCCTGGACGGACTAATTAAACAAATGAATACATGATATGATTCACAGTGAAAGATGGACCCAGAAGAGACAGGTGGCTTCTGCCTCCATGGGACACAGGTTCGAAAATCTGTCCCCAAAGTCTTTCAATAAGTAATAGGTGAAGTCAGACAGAAAGAAATCTCACCTTTTAAGTCAAGACACTTCACTACTCTACAACAGAATGAAGACAGGACTAGATTCAGCAAACAAAAATCCATCATTTGTCCATCAAGAAGGTACCCAGTGCTTTGCAACTGAGAAAGGAGTGACTCCTGGTTCCAGTGGTGAGGTCTGAGAAGCCCAAGGCTGCAGACCCCCAGCCCCCAAGGCTGGGCTTGGCCTTTAGATATGCTGGTTTGACCCACACAGAGCTGGCCTACGCCATGTCTATGAAATTTCCAAGTTGTTTTCCATTACATAAAAAAATCAAGATATTTCTACCTAAAAAGAGATTTCTTCTGATTCTTTTGTGGAGGGAGGCGGGAAATGGAAGGTCTTAGCCACAGAGGGCCTACAGAACAGCAGCCACTCAGATGGACCCTGTCCCCAATCTAGCCCACTTGTCACCTGCCCAGCCCTGCTGCTCCTGCCCACCTGGACTGAGAAGTGCTTGTGAAGACAGAGCAACACCCGGTGTGATGTGAGCTAGATTTCCTGTAAACGCTGGCAAACACTCAGGGACTGCAGGCCGGCTTATGATGCAGCTGCTCTGGTCAGCGGCCTTATGACGGTCCTACGTCAAGACACGTGTGGGCCTGGCATGTACTCTTGACCCCAACCCAGTCAGAATGCAGCACCCTGTCTCCCAGCCATATTTCCATACAGCACAAAAGTGCAAATCCTACATACTCTTCACACTGCAAAGTTCTAAAAGGAGGCCGCACTCTTCAGAATGGACCAGTGGCATTGCCTCATGCTCTGTGTCCAGCAGAAGTCAACATCAGATGCTTTAGAGAAAGGAGTCAGAGCCCCACAAGGCACCCCAGGGTGAAGCAGCTTTCTTTTGATGGCTGCAGCTGAAAGAGGGAAGCTCCCAGCTGTTGAGCCTGCATCACAGTCATCTCAGTGGTGAGAGGATGCTGGCTGCTGCAGTTAACAATCTAGACAGGTCAGACATGCACAGACGAAAAGGAAGCTTCCCAAGTCCCCAAGGGTTACCAGGGCCAGGGGCAGATGGAGACCAGCGCATTCCTTACCTGCCGTAGGCACACTAACATTGTACTGAGGTAAAATAAATAGGAAGGCAGTCTTGGCTGTGACCTGTAAAACAAAGGGGAAAGTTCCAATTTAACTTTTTTGCCACATCATAAGGGAGACATGGAGCCTGTAACCAGCTCCCAGAGCCCGCCTCTTTTTTTTCTATCTCAGACCCACAGACCCTCGGATGAATGGTTTTTCCTTCGTGCACAGTTAGCTCTGGCTTTTGTTCCATTTTTCTTTAATGACATCCTTTCCAATACCTGCACTGAAATCAAAACACCCCTGGGCACCAGATGGTACGGAGACTTGGACTCAGTGTAGAAGGAATGAAACAAGCTGTGCTTGGCAAGCGGGGAGCTCACAAGTGAAGGGCACAAATCTGTCTGCCATTCATTCATTCACTCAAGTATCTGTAAAGTTCATTCTGTGCACCCAGCTTCGTGGAAGATGGAAACTAACAGAAGGGAAGGTTGCAGCCTTCGCGAAACTCGGGCCCTAGCTGAGGTCTCCCTAGCACTCGGCCGCCTGCACGTTGGACAGCACCCCTGAAAATCTAACCCTGAGCATCAGAAACAGAGAATTTCAGCTGCTTATTTCACATCCCCCCTACCGTGCTGCATGGGACAGGATATCACACCCACATTGCCAATTTATTCATTTCAAAAGCTGCCTTTAAGATCTCAGTTGTGGCGTAAAAGAAAAACTGCGGTTGTCACTGGCTATTAATGGCCAGGTCAGTACTGTGACAGCTTAGCCAGCAGGGTGGAGATTACAAAATGTGGAGATTTGATGCCTGGACTCAAGGATCAAATGCTTGAGTTCAAATGCTAGCTCTGCTGTTTGCATGCCATGTAATCCCAAGCAAGTAACCCTACACCCTGAGCCTCAGTTTCTTTGTCCATAAAGTCAGGAGTATTTGCCGAACCTCAGCTCTGGGCTGGTGCTGGCATTGCTGTGAATGCTGTTGGAAGCTGTGCAGCTGGGACTGAGAACCACCATCCACACTGTCCTGGGCCATGCACGAGGCCAAGGGAGGAGCAAGCCCAAACCAGGCCTTTCCCAGGAAGCTTCACAGACCCATCAATTAAGGTTAATGGCTCTTCTCCAGGCACAGAGGAGGTCTGAAGGATGGACACTGGGTGTGTGTGTGTGTGTGTGTGCAGCAAATGCACTTGGCCATGACCAAAGGTGGTGTGGAAACCAGTGAATGACATTGCAGACTCCCCATGTCACTCAGATTCTTTGCTTTGTTTTAGATTTACTTAATTATTATTTGAAAGGCAGAGTGACATAGAGAGAGGGAGAGGCAGAGGCAGAGAGTGTTCGAGCTACAGAAAGCAACTGTTTCCATCAGCTGGTTCACTGACCAAATGGCCACAATGGCTGGGGCTGGGCCAGGCTGAAGCCAGGAGCCTCGAACTGCATCTGGATGTCCACGTGGGTGGCAGGGGCCCAAGCACTTGGGGCTATCTTCCTCTGCTTTCCCAAGTGCATTAGCAAGGATCAAAAGCAGAGCAGGACACCTCCAGTCCATATTAGAGTACCTGCATTCAAGTCCCAACTCTGCTCCTAACGCTAACTTCCTGCTGTGCACACTCTGACATGCCTTAGATGGTGGCTCATGTACTTACTTGGTCCCTGCCACCCCCAGGAGAAACCTAAATTGAGTTCCTGGTTCCTGGGAGTGAGTCAGTGGACGAGAACTCTCTGCAAGTCTGACTGCTTCTCAAATAAGAAAAAGACCTTTTTCTATATTCCCCACCCATCTGGTGATTCAATTACCCGTATTCTCTTTAGAATACATGCGTTTGATTTTAGCCGAGATGTTATACTTACTATCTCCTTAGTCTCATTTTATATCCTTCTCCTACACAACTGCATACACCGCACACACACACACACACACGCAGTTCTCCTGATGAGACTCTCAGCCATCCTCCACCACTCAGCTCCACTGTAACCCCCTGCACAAACCTTCCCTAACTGCTCCAGGCCCTGCTCTCTCGTCCTCAGGGAGCCCTGCATGCTGCACCTGCTGTATTACCACCTCCACACACCTCTTCCAGTTCCCATCAGGCAGTGACCATCTCACAAACCCCTCTGTGACTGCTCAAGTAACCCAGATGATACAGTGGGCGCTCCGTAACCGTTCACTGAACAAGATGAAGAACAAAAAGCCAAGTCTGCTTCATTCAGCCATTTTGGTTCCCTCTCTGTATCGGGAGCTGCTCCCGGGGCCATCACTGGTGTTGTCCTCTATCACAGTCTTTTCCTTTAGACCTGACTGTCTGTTAAACCTGAACCCAGCTCTGCTTAAGCCCCACAGACACCCCAGCCACAGGGACTCTCCTGCTGAACCCCCTTCACAATGCCCCAACCACCTGACCCTCTACAATAGGATCTGCCATGACACCATCAAGGGCAAACTCTGCCTTCTCAGAGTGAAATCCTGGAGAAAGAACATCAGAGGAGGAAGGCAGGCAGGGAGGAAAAATGTACCCAACCCTCTGTAAGCTTCGGCACACATCTCACATTCGATTTCACTTAGCAAAGGCACTGGTCTCCTAAGACCGTGGGGTGGAGTGTACCTCCGTGGGGTTTGGCTGTCAGGAATCCACTCTCCCCTTCCAAGAGCACGAGAGTTCCCAAGGGAAGTGCTTTCCTCCTGCTCATGGCCGTAGGAAGGGGACAGCCTCTCCCCAGGACAGCAGCCCGGCCAGCTGGGCTCTGGGTTTGAGTGGGAGTGGAGGAGGTGCTGGTCAGTGCCACATGTCCACCCACAGCCTTCTGCTGTGGTCCCTCCAGCCCTGGCCCTGGAGTACTAGCATTACCCAGTGTGTAATGAGGCTAAAGAGCCAGGGTCCATCTCCAAGCTACGTCATTGTTCGCCGTGTAGAGTACCGTGTTCAGCTCTAGCTGCACGACAGACTCCTGGAGGAGCTTTGAAAATCTCTATGCCAGGGGCCACACCCAAACTGATTAAACCAGGCCCCCGGAGCACTGACGTTTCAGCAACTTCCCCAGACCACTCCAATGTGCAGTTAAGTCTGAGATTCTCTACACTTCTTAAAAAAAAAAGAAGAAGAAGAAGAAGACTGACATTTGGCATGTGGTTATGTGGGCTCTGCATATATTCTTAGCCTAAGCTTACATACACAGTCAGTTCTCAGCACTCACAGTAGTTACAGTCCAGGAAGTCACCGTGAATACCAAATTAGCCAATTTGGAAACACTGCTTCTAGGAGAAACACAGGGTCAGGTGCCTATCAGGCTCTGGTCACATTTGCAACAGATCAATATATGACCTTGCTTTTTCTGTTTAAAGACATCTTGCATAATACTCTATGCCATGGACTCACCGACACTAAACTCAAGGCCACCCACACTGTATCTAACTCAATGGAACAAGGCTGAAACAACACCTGCTTTCCCCACGAGGTACATCACGGCCTTCTTGTGCTGGGGAGCACGAGTCAGCGCTTCCACCCTGTCAGATGGGTCATTTTAGCAGAGAAATCACCCACAAAGAGGCAGAAAACATGAGCACTAAATGGAGGCAAAAAGGACACTTGTTCACAGTGTAATGAGAGCTGAACAGGATGGAGAAGGCTTCCCATCACTGGGAACGTGCGTGTGGGGCAACTTCACATTTTCGTTGCTCTGCATATGCCTGCGAATAACCACAGAGTCAAGGACTGATTCTGGGGTTACAGCTACATTTTAGAAAGTTAGTGAATTTGCAAAAACAAAATCCAGGAAAAAAATTAAGACAATGTATTAGAGCAAACCCCCATGTCAGCTCTAGGAGGGTCAAGTTGCTATGTTGGGGCTGCCATTGCAGTGTAGCAGATAAAACCACTGTCCATAACGCCAGCATTCCAAATGAGCACCTGTTCGAGTCCCAGCTGCTCCACTTCCTATCTAGCTCCCTGCTATTGTGCCTGGGAAAGCAGCAGAGGATGGTCCAAGTGCTTTGGGCCCCTGCACCTACACGGGAGATCCAGAAGAAGCTTCTGACTCCTGGCTTGGACCTGGCCCAGCACCAGCCATTGTAGCCATTTGGGGAATGAATCAGTGGATGGAAGATATCTCTCTCTCTCTCTCTCTCTCTCTCTCTCTCTCTCTCTCTCTCCTCTGTCTCTTCATCTCTGTGTAACTGTGACTTTCAAATAAATAAATAAATCTTATTTAAAAAGTTGTGCTTTGGCCAGCACCGCGGCTCAACAGGCTAATCCTCTGCCTGCGGCGCTGGCATACCAGGTTCTAGTCCCAGTCGGGGCACCAGATTCTGTCCCAGTTGCCCCTCTTCCAGGCCAGCTCTCTTATCTGACCCAGGAGTGCAATGGAGGATGGCCCAAGTCCTTGGGCTCTGCACCCGCATGGGAGACCAGGAGAAGCACCTGGCTCCTGCCTTCAGATAGGCGCGGTGCGCCAGCTGCAGCGCACCGGCCGCGGCAGCCATTGGAGGGAGAACCAACGGTAAAGGAAGACCTTTCTCTCTGTCTCTCTCTCTCTCACTGTCCACTCTGCCTGTAAAAAAAAATAAATAAAAATAAAAAGTTGTGCTTTTAAATAGCTTTCATAAGATATAATGTACACACCCTAAAATTCACCCATCTTAATTGTACAGCTGTAAGAGGTTTATTTTTCCATTTCTTCCTTTGTAGGAATATTAAGTTCTAGGAAAGTGGGGATCTTGCCTGCCTTGATTCTCTTCCATTCATAGCCTCTAACAGAACTGAGAACAGAGCAGCACTCAGAAAACATTAACATAAATACGGGTTAAGCAGAATAGCCAGTGCTGTACTGTGCCATCAGCCCTACACCTGTCACCTGCCCACATTTATAGTTTTGTGTGTGTCCTCTCTCTCCCTGGGACAGTCTGAGGGCTGGGCACACAGTATGTAGCCCATAAACACCTATTTGATGAACTCATACCCCAAGCAGCTGTGATATTTAGTAACCATGAGTGAATGTTTAACATATGTTTCTGAACATGATTCCAAGAGAACAGGGCCCAGGATCTTGAAATAAGGCAAAAATACTAGATTCCAGTATTT